ATTAGATCAGAGCCTGCCCCACTTCAGTCGCTGCCCCTCCTTTTCGGTGTTTCCTTCTTACTCATCATTTCAATTGAACAAATTACCTAAAAGAAAATATGGAAACCAAACCAACAGAAGTACAAAGAACTAATAAATCATGGAACCCCAATGAAAGACCACGTGGGCCCAGCAGAATGGTCGGTAAAATTGACAGAGATGGACAGTATCCCAATGATGGGGAGGCTGTGGGGAAGCAGGTGGCCCTTCGGCAGGCCATTTGGCAGTGTCCAACGACACATGAAATCCACATATCCTTGGACAATGTAATCCCACTGGTCTTGGGCCTACAGTAACGTTCATCCATGCATGCAAAGACGTTAAGTCCCGTGCTGTTCGTCGTCCATTAGTTTTAATAGGGAAATTTGGGATCAACCCAAGTGTCCGTCCAAAAGATAATGGAATAAATTGTAGTGTTATTGTTAGCTGTTGTCAAGTTGGCCCGAGTCGATCACCAGGCCTCTCTTCCTAGTCTGCCTCAGTCTGGAAGCTGCACTGCAATCTGTTCAGCAGCATAGCAACACACATGCCTCTGCTGACGGGCAGCTGGTGGCTGTGCACGAGGTGCACCGGCTGGAATCAAACCCAGGTGTCCTGCGTGGAAGGCAGGAATACCACCGCGGCGTTCATAAAGTATAGTACCTGTGTGCATAGAAGCAGAGGATCCCCCTGCTGATGTCAGATGGAGCTGGGCTGAAAGCAAAGAATACCAGAAAAATGTTTACTTGAGTTTTACGGACCATGCAAAAGCATTTGATCATGGAGCTCTGGTGGCGTAGAACCTGAGGCATTTGACTGCTAACCAGAAGGTTGGTGGTTCAAACCCACCAACTATAATAATGGAAATTCCATAGGACTTGATTGTGCTCATGAGGAACTTATACATAGACCAGGAGGCTGTTGTCGAACAGAACAAGGGAGTGCACCACCATCCATGTTCAATCTGTATGTTGAGCACAAAATCCGACAAGCTGGACTATATGAAGAATAACACGGCATCAGGATTGAAGGAAGGCTCATTAACAACCTGTGGTATGCGGACGGCACAACCTTTCTTGCTGAACATGAAGATGACTTGAAGCACTTATGATAAAGATTGAAGACTACAGTCTGCAGTATGGATTATACCTCAATATAAAGAAAACAAAAATCCCCCCAACTGGACCAATAAGCAGCATCACGATAAATGGAGAAAAGATTGAACTTGTCAGAGACTTCATATTACCTGGGTCCACGATCAACACCCGTGGAAGCAGCGGTCAAGAAATCAGACGACGTATTGCACTAAGCAAATCTGCTGCAAAAGACTTCTAAGTGCTGAAGAGCAAAGATGTCTTTTTGAAGACTAAGGTGCACCCAAGCCATGGTATTTTCAGTTCCTTATA